ATTTCTAGACATGTCATTTTGAAAAAATGTAAACCATAGCTGATGTTTTTTTAACTTCATAATTTAACATCCTATCAGGATTGCTGACTATGATGAGACTCATGACATCTCCATAATAGCCCAGGTCACAGACTGTCTCCCAGAATTCATCAACAGAGGCATGGCCATGGCGTCCTTCTACCACGCACGGTGTCTTCAGCTTGGCCTGGGCATCACAAAAGATGAAGAAACAGCTAGACTATATTATTCTAAAGTAAGCTTGAAGAAAATATAAAGTTGTCTTTGTTAACTTAGAAAATATAAATGCTTTCTGCATTATTCTGATTTCCAAACCAAGTCCATTTTAGGTTTTAGACTATCCTCACTTGGTATTCTTTCTAAATTAATATAAGCAGAGAAAATTCTGGGTAAAAATATCTTGAAATGTAGTATATAGATCCTGAAAAGTCAGCAAACCAAACATTGCAATGTTAGAACTCTTTTCCACATGATGGAGAGGTGATCATCCCATTATTTTGCACTAAGACCACCTTTAAGCTGAGTGTGGTGGTGCACACCTGTAATCCCAACAACTTGGGAGGCTGAGAAAAGAGGAAGAAAAAAAAAGAGGACCACAGGTTTGTAGCTCAGTGGTAAAATGCCCTTGTTTCAATCCCTAGTACAAAACAAAACAAAACAAAAGACCATATTCAGAATGAAGTGTCCATTTTTGCTATTGTATTTACCATGGGAGATACTGATGGAATGGAGAAAATTTAGACAGTAAACCAGTACAGGGTCTGGTTTAACCATGTCATATGAGGCATTGGAATAGAAATGAAGAATGTTTTATTCAGAGCAAAAGGACATGGCGGTGGTGGTGGGGGTGTGCTGAAGTGATCTCACTGAACTAATAAAGTGTCCTAAAGAAAAGGAACTGTGGGAAGAAGCAACTAGAGACAAGGTTCTTGTATTATGGAAAAAGGTAAGGCAGTACTATGAGGGCAGGGTGGGAGAACACAGGGAAAGCAAGACCTAAGGTCATGAGATCCTTGCCTGACACAACTGAAACAGGAAACAAAAACAAAAGTTTTCTTTATAAGTCACCTCCTGCCACCAGAAGCTAGTGATCAATTTCCCTGGGTACTGAAAGGAAAATTTCTGCACAGAGTTGGGGGGTGAGGTGGGGGAGGGGGAGGGTGGTGGGGGTGGGGAGTGTTGGACAGGATAACCTTTGATCTCTCTCCCAAATTCCTGACATTCTGCAATAAACACTAATGTGGCTATGTCCCTGTAGTATGCTGTTTTTAAGTCCTTTGAGTATAGACCTTTGGGTCAAAAGGTGGTTCCACTCCAAGTTTTCCAAGGAATCTCCATACTGCCTTCCATATTGGCTGCACCATTTTGCAGTCCCACCAGCAAGGTACATATATCAAAAATTTTCCTTGGCTCTGATAAAATTTTCTCTTTCAAATGATAAGTGGATATTTTTTTTAAAGATATTTATTTTTTAGTTGTAGTTGGATACAATATAATTAATTAATTAATTAATTAATTGTTTTGTGGTGCTGAGGGGATTGAACCCAGGACCTCTCCTGTGCTAGGTGAGCGCTCTACTGCTGAGCCACAACCCCAGACCCAATAAGTGGATATTTTGAGCATGATCTATTTTGCATGGGTTAGATTTTAAATTCCTTTATTTCTAATAAGAAATACAGAATAGAAAATGTTAAGAAATTTCCTTGATACTCATTGTACTTTCTTTACTATTCATTAAAAAAAGAAGACAGACTCAAACAATTAGAATACATTTAATGACTGGCTCCTTTTGATTTTAAGGCTTGTCGTCTGAATCCAGCAATGGCAGATGAACTTCACTCTTTAGTTATTCATCAAAGAATTTAGACCACAGTGCATTTCATCAAAGATCGTCAATCCAAACTCCATATAATGTGTATATTTTTATGGCAGCTATGTATGTTATTTTCTGCATCCCCAGTTATATTATCCTGGGTATTTTACAGACGGTATGTTACCTTTGTTCTTGAATTTGTATTCTATAATTTTTGCAACCAGAAACCTAGCCACAGGATCAAAGAGTCCTCAGAGTCCACCTCTTAACCTATAGCGTAGCCTAGACCATATTAAATTTGAAGCTATTCCTTAAAGCAAATGTCTTTTTCCTTTCTTACATACACAGTGTCTTAAAGATTTAGCAGTTCTAGTTAATAAATTCCAAAGCATAAATGCTACAAGATTATTTTAAAACACCATTTGAAAGTTTCTTTAAACTTCTTTGGTGCTTAGTTTTGTGAATTTTGAATAACACGTTGTTAATTTGAATTTTTTGTTTCAGTCATGAAAAAATTTTAAATTCACAAAATAAGGGCCAAAGAAATGTAAAGAATTAGATTTTCAAATAACATTTTTGATATATAGCATTTCTACTTCTGAAGTTATTAATGCTAAAAATATTTTTTAAAATAACTGACTTATTATAAACTTTTAAAAAAGAGAGGGTCTAAGAAAATTGCTTGGAATTTTGTTCCTCCAAATATTACCTCAAAGATCTTTTTAATGTGCAACACCATTACTACATCCCTGATGCATATTCATAAGATAATTCATTAAAGCAAGATGCTTCTTGGTCTTTCAACTCATTTTACATTTTGAAAACAAATACACTCAATGCACAATAAAATGTGAGAAAGATCTCATTAAATCACCTAATTATACAAGAATTATATCTAAATTTTGTTTTAAAACTCCATGAGCAAGTCTTTCTGTCAGTGATATCTATGAAAGCAAATGGTGACAGTAAGAATAGTAAGATTCATATCCATAAGATTGTATAGTGCTGGGGCTGGTGACACACACCTGTAGTCCCAGTGATGCGGGAGGCTGAGGCAAGAGAATCAAAAGTTTGAGGCCAGCCTCAGCAACTTAACAAGGCCCTCAACTTAGCGAGACCCTGTCTGAAAATAAAAAATAAAAAGGGCTGGGGATGTAGCTGGATTTGATCCCCTGGGCCAAAATAAAAAAAGTTGTATAGCAACTTTTTTGTATAGCAACCTCAAATATATTGTGAAACAAATACGTTGAAATATGTCTTAAAGATACCTTAATTATCCCTTTTTTGTTAACATAATAAATTAATATGCCTTTATTTTTATAAATCACAACATTCTTTCCATTAGTGGATTTAAACAAGATCTCCTCTTAGTAATGAAAAAATGGAATTAATTACATATGTGACAATCAATCACTAGAACTGTTACATAGCAGAAAATAACCTGCTCTTGTTTTATGCTCTGACTTGCTTGTATTTCTTGAATTTTATTTTGTCTTTAGATAAAGGAAAGAAATTTCAGGAGGAAATTTAGGTCTGTAAGATATCTCAGTCATGTTTTGTATATCAAAAATTATACACTTAAACCATCCTTGAAACTCATTTTCATATCACTACTGAATACTTTATGAGATCCTAGTAACACTGTTCAATGTCTCAAGTTCATTACAAGATTTCAAAACATCTCACTTACATCTTTTCTGCAATATAAACTTGGTTTGCAACCTTTAATACCATCCATACAATATTCCTTCAACCATGTGAAGATCCAAATTCCCAACCTATTCTCTTCTCCACCCTTAATCTGGTTCCTAAAACTTTTCCTCAAGAATCTTCAAACAGGGACTGGTTCTCACTGTGTTGCTCAGGCTGGTCTTAAACTAGGGACATAATAAAGAAGTAAATGTTGAATTCATGGCACATTTAATGAATCTACTATCTTTCGTCATCCCAAAGTAATGACCACTTTTTAAACTGCCATTAAAACATAGACCTCAGGGCTGGAAAAGCACTTGCTTTCCACCCACGGGGCCCTGGATTTGATCTCCAGTACTCAAACAGCCAGCAAAAACAAAGAAACAGGCTTCAGAAAGCCCAAATGTAAGGATATAATGTGTCATGTGTGGTAAAATGTTATGCCTAAATGTGAACCCAACACAGAATTTAAAAATTCAGTTCACTGTAGTTACCAGAAGGTGGATGACCTGGCACTTACTTACGAACTACTAGTGCCGTAAACAGTGATATGTATATAACCTGTGAGTAGAGTTAGTCTGACTAACTCAAGTGAGCTGAGGCTTCTAGAATATTACTCTACAACACAACAAAAGAAACTTCTGTAAGACCCATTATAGCTGATATCATGTGAAAAAATAAGAATTATTAATAAATGTTGAGATATCAAAACTTTTTTGTCATTTGCAGTATAAACTTAACTATAGTTTAAATGATCACATAGAGTTATACATAGGAGAGACATTTTCAGTTACTGTGTTATATGAGTTCTTTGGGTTTAGCAATCTCATGTTACTTCTCACTCCTGGATGTATTTTAAATGTTCTTTTCAACATCCCTTTGAAGGATAATTCTTATGTTGTAAGTAGCCAACTTTGGGTTTTCCTGAAATGTCAAATATTTTCATTTGAAAAAAAGGATCAAAGAGATTAATTAGAAGAGTCTCAAAGATAAAATCTAGTGTACTAGGTTTCAATCATTTATCTTTCAGAACTTGTTTCTTATTTTATGGATTTAAACTGAACTTGTACCTTTTTGTTTGTTTTCAATAGTTCTAAAGATTAGGGAGAAGACATTTTATTATCACTCCCTAATAGATGATGAAGCCCAAGAAAATTGATTGATTAAATCAAACAAAATATGTACTCTGAATCTCCCCTAAAGCCCTGCTGTAGTTCATAAGATTTGATGATTATCAGGTTCCTAAACTCCTTGAAAGAACTTCACTCCTGTCTCTCTATCTTAATTGCCTCCACGGTTCAGCTCACATCTTACCTCCCTAATGCCTCATTTAAAACACTAATTTGGCTCTTTTTATGCATTAAAAGTCATAGGTTTCACATTAATTCTGTGTCTAGAAAAAAAGGCACTCAATAAATATGTAGACTGCCCCACATGTTTCAATCTCTCTGAGATATGCATCTTAAATATAAAGCACTGTGATTCATTTTTTATATTTTATTGCTTCAAATGCTTCAAACTATGGGAAATCTTTGGTAAAAATAAAGACAATAAAATTTTCACAATAACTTTACACAAAGCATTGCACAACAATGTTCTTCAGTACACATGAAATAACATAGGAATGTTCAGAATCCTCAGTGAGGAAATTAACTGTACAATATTCATAGTTCATTTTAAAACAAAATTGTTTTCATAAATATTTAAAATATTTCCTAGCTTCTTATCACATATTAACAGTTGTATTTCAATCAGTATTGTTGAACTTTTGAAAGTATTTTTATTACTTAAAAATTAATAAACAGATTTTCTTTTTTCCCTGTTGCCTACCATAGCATCAAGACCCCTCCCCCCAATTCTGCTTGCTTCACATAAAACTAGAGGGAGGTAACGAAAATAAAAATCAATATGTTCTCAGTCAGACCCTCTGTGGAAAAGAGGAAAATGTTTCATGTCTATTATTACAGACATTTCTCTGGTGGTTTATTTGTGCAGTCTCAAACTTGACCAGCTTTAAGTTGATCTAAATGAGTTTTCAGCTCAGGACACAGTTCAATTAGCAGCAACTCCATCAACACCTGTACCGAGAAAGAAGGGGAAAAAGTAGAAAGGTATGTTTTTACTCCAAGGGTTTTCTCAAAATAAACATCTATGTCTTAAGAGAAAAGTCTAAGTTTAATTCAGAGATTATTCTCAGTAAACAAGTGACTCTCAAACAAAAGGAATTAATATTATATAAACTTGATTATTTTATGACTTATTAACCATGTCAAATAAAACAACAATATTTAATGTTGGTAATAGTGACTGATCAAAATTTGATTTACTGAAGTTAAGAAAACAGAGGAGTTGGGAGGGAGAGCAAGGGAGGAAGATTACCTCAGGGAATAGGGGTGGGAGGGAAAGGGAGGGAGAAGGGGAATAGCATGGATGGTGGAAGGAGACCCTCATCATTATACAAAATACAAGTATGAAGATGTGAATTGGGTGTCAACATACTTTATATACAATCAGAGATATGATAAATTGTGGTATAAAGGTGTATTAAGAGTTGTAATGCAAAAAAAATAATAAAAGATCTCATGTATAATGGCATAAATATTTTGCGTGAACATACTTTATATACAGAGTTATGAAAAATGGTGTTGTGAATGGATAATTATGTTTGTAATGCATTCCACTATTGTCATGTATGTAAGAAATTTTTAAAAAAGTTAAAAAAAGAAAAAGAAAACAGAGGAGGCAGAAATATTGCATCAAAAGTCAGGAGAGACAGCTAGAATATAAGGCTGAGAATGCTGTATGCACTGGGGGGCACTTTTATTCTTTTTCACCAAATGAAGAGATAGAAACAAAAATGAAGCAGAAAACATGGGTTGAGAGTTAGAAGGAAGAAGAAATAGAATGTAATGGATTAAAATCTACTCCAATATGTGAACAGAAATATAAAAATCCCAGAAGTGCTTAGTTTCTCTGGCAGGCTTTAATTTACTCACATATAACAGATGCTTATTGGCTCTTGTTTCTTGCAGTGCCTTGAATATTTTTATTATTCCATGGCGGGCATTTTGTTGTCCAACAAGGCTCTGGAGTGTATCTGAAAAATTAAGTATTTTTAAAAAAAAATTTTTGCAGTGCTGGGGATTGAACCCAGGGTTTTGTGTATGCTAGGTGACTACTCTACCATTAAGCTACATGGCCAGCCCTGAAAAACTAAGTTTTAATTCTGTGTTGCTATTGATAATGTGCACAATGAATATATCACATGATACATACATAGTAAACAAAGGCACTGAGGCATTAGGAATGGTCAGTTCTCTCAAATATTTAAAAAAAGTTTATTTAGAATTTTCAATATAAGGCATTTATAAAAAAAACTACAGTTTAAACAAAATCAATATATTTTTAATACTACTAAAATTTTACAGTACACTTTATCCTGACCTCTACTAAAGCACAAAATTTACTATTTGCTTTAAAACATTTCTCTAGTTAAAACTTAAGATTCTCAGTATGAATTAACAAATGACGAAAAATGGCTTTTAAAAGTACAATAATGTTTTAAAAATTGTAAATAATGTTTCCTGAGAGATATAAATAAAAAACATCTTTTGTTGTTTTTAAATTTTTTTTTAGTCATCAATGGATCTTTATGTTTTTACTTATAAATAAATATAAATATGTAGTGCGAGGATCGAACCCAGTCCCTGAACTACACTGAACTATAGCCCTAGCCTCATGAAGAAGATCTTAACAGGGCTCACATTCCCTTTTTATCTCTAAACTCTCAGATTGAGATCCCAGGCCTCACCTGGAATGTTTTCAAGTAGCTTTTGCTGTGCTCTCTGTTTTGTTTCCTGACTTTGTGCTTTGCTTCTGATTGTGGTTGGTGGTGCCAATTTCCCATTTGGCCAAAAAGCATCCCGGAAAACATTGATGTAGTAAACCAACATCTGCTCACTGAAAATCCAGTTCACTGTGTCCCGGATTTGTCTTTTAAGAGAAAGAAGAATGTTTGCATGAAGTTTTTAAAAATTTTACACTCAGTTCTCAAAAGGCATTCATTAATGGATAGGTTAAGATACAGTTTGATCTAAATGTTTGATGAATGAACTGGGAATTCCATCTTTAAATCCTGGCCATGAATGTTATTTTTAATTTGCATGACCACTCATTGTTGATTTCTTATCTTCTTATCTGTATAGATAATAATTGAAAAGTTTGTTTTTTGAAGCTTATGACTAACTGTGCATAACACTATGCACTAATTTCTCCATGAAGCATTATAAACTGAAAACATAAGTTCCCTTTTAAGATGGTTAAAAGTGGACTGCAAAACCTACTTGTGCCCCTGAAGTCCTGGAGGAGAACAAGCTTGTTCACTAGTTCTCTCTAAGGGTTACTAGGGCAGATAACACCAGGCAGGATGCTCCAACCCAGAGGAAGCATCTCACATGCTCAGAGCAAGGGAAAAGATTATCTCTTTCAAAAATATAATACCATCTAGCAAACTGCAAATTTCCATAGGAATGAAAATTGGGCAGATGTTTGACTTGCAGTTATACATAAATGGTTTTTATCTGGTTACACTGGTCTTCCACCCAGCCTTATTTCAGTAGTCAAATTTTAACTGGCTACAGAGGCAAGTAAACTAAAGTTCAGAGAGCCCAGAAACAGTAGTGATGTTGGGAGGAGAAAGCTTCTAATGAGATGGGAAAAAATATCATCTTAGACTATTAGTGCCAGAAAAACCTAACTTCAAATTTGATTCATGAACAATAATAAATCATAAAGCTCTTAAGGAATCTGACTTTCTAACCAGATTTTTAAGTGAATAACATGAGGGTTTCAGAAATGCTATTGAAATACATGTTTCAAGCCTAGTAGTTCTTTCCACATGGTAGTCAATCACTATTGAATGAAGGTCTAGACTCTACTGTGAGTCAAACTGCAATGAATTCTATTTGAAACTGTACATCTATATTGCTTTTTAAACTGTGCAATTTAAATCTAGACCAAGTAAAACAATTTTGTTAATTAATTTAGTGGCACTCCTGCCTTCAGAAAGAATCTGCTGACTTTCCTGCTTACCTTCCTAAAACAATATCATGCCAGCATTGCGTTTTCTGTAGTTTTCTTTTGGGTTAATCACTGGCACTCCATGAAGAAATGAAGTAAAAACTTCAATTTACAACTTATAATTCAGTGACCCTTACTAAAGGACATCACCTATGCATTTTTGTCAATTTAGGTCTGATTTTTCTATGAGCCACGACCTGGAAGAAACTTCGTAAGCTTCTAGTATATGAGACCACGATTGGTACACGGCAAGAGGCCTAGCCTGCATTGCTGCATAATTTTATTATGTATTATCATCTGCTAAAGGCAAAAATAGCAAAGTTCCAGGTGCTCCATAAGTCTCTCTCTGATAAAAGATCACTGAAATTTTTCTACAAGTCTCTCCTATCTTCTTGAAAATAATTGCCAAATGTATTCACCACTCACAAACTACAGCTGCTCATTTTATAATTAAGAGCCAATATCATAAAAAGGAACAAGGAAAAGTATAGATGATTTGTTGAAACTGACTAGAAAAATAAATTAGAAAATCTCAAGTACTGAGAAAAATCAGGTCATTCTGGAAATTTCTTTGACGCTTGTCAACACCAGAGTTAAAAGGTTTGCTTTAGACTGAAACGGTAAGTAAAAGGGGCCATTTTTCTGATTAAAACAAAAGCCTATGATTCTAGGTTACCTAAACAAGGCCTGAATGCAACTTAAACTACTTTTTAAAAAATCTTAGAAATAAAAGAAGTAAACTTTTGTTTATGACCACAAGGAAAACATATTCTATTTGAAAATTAGTACAAAAGAGCAACAAATTTTCTTTGTTTCCTATAAAAATTTATAACTCTGTATGGTAAAGCTATTATGTTAACCTCACGTAAATATTTAACAATAAATTAATCTTTCATATGGGAAAACCTGACAATTTCATATTAAAATATATTTTACCATACAAAAAAAGAGATTTTTTTTTTCACATGTCTATTCTGCAGGAAGTCATAATGCTTATCTCCTGAAGAGTTTTGAATATGGAATTACTATTTAAAAGATTTTTATAATAGCAGTTCCAAATTTCAGGCCTAGAGGCTCTTGAGACATAGCTGAGTGAGCAGGCACAGGCCAGGAGGCCAAGCTGGGTTTGCTGACCAGTCTGGTAATCTCATATAACCCACATGATTTCTTAGATTCTGTTTCCTCACTGATAAAATGAGGAGTTAGACTAATCTTTGAGACCCCCTTCAGAACTGAACCTACCTAATAATTTCAATTTGACTTCTAGTGACTGCATGATTTTGCAGTTATTAAAAATTCCAATAATTTCCTAGAAACTAATATTATTGTTGATGAGTTTTTAGTAACAGACCCAGGGTTTTCATAAATAAGTGGCCAAAATGTGGATCACTTTTTATGAAACTTAGAAAGATGTAAACATATATATAAGTATGTATACATACATATGTATGTGGATAATGTAACTTAGTTTATAATTTACATATGGCCTAGATAGACCCATATACCCCCACCATGGATAATAGATGTTAACAAGAAGGACTGACATGTTAATGCTATCTTAACTCTAAAAAAGTTAATACACAGTTTTATTTCCCTCTAAGAAAATACTTGCCATATAATGCCCATCCTACTTTCATTATGGCTTAGTGTCTAAACCTTGGTCTAATTCAATTACTATTGTATGACAGTAACTAGTCATCCTGATCAAAAAGGAGCTCTGTAGAACCCAATCCTCTGACCACTTCAGTCAGAATACTGATACTAACTCAAGCTTTTATCATAAAATTCACCATGCTTTCTGCAAGAGAAATTCAGATATTTTCTTCCCTATCCAATTAAAATACTTATAGTTAAATCATCAGGTGGGTACTATACTATAGGGTACTTGGACTATTCAGTAGGGCATAGATTCAAGTGTTAATTTTGTAACACTTACTTGTTGATGGTTCTTCCAAAAGTGACCTGAACGAGAGCAATTAATGTTCTTCTCACCCATTTAAACACTAAAATATAAATCAAAGGAAAACTCATCATAGGATATCACAAGACATTTTCATAGCTGTACAAAGCATAAAAATCTTACCACTTAATTCAACTGTAGACCTGATACCTATGCTTTCTGCAGAATTTGGATCTAGCTTACCAAACTTCTGCTCAAGAAAACTCTAAGCTTTTCACTAAGCACCTAATGAGAAGAAACCTAAGAGTTTTTGTAGCTCTCAATGGCTTCAGAAGAGCTAGGTTAGCAGGGACAAACAGTACTTTACTTCCTGTGCTTATGAATACTGGCAACAATGCCTATTCCTTAGCAGACAGTGTGATTTCTACTGCAGATTTCTGACTGGATAGCTGACAAAATTTGCTAATACATGGCTCTGAATGAGAAACATCTGTAGTAAAAAGTGACAAATATTGTGAAATATTAATGAAGTGACAGTTTTAACTGCTCGCATTTGAGTAGTAGTTTGTATATTGTGTATTTTATATATTTTACGTGTTTGGGGGAAGAATCATGAACTGTAAAAAGTGAGAGTCCTGAATGGGATGGGGATTCTGCAATCTCCTGTGCTGCCTCTGAGAGCAGCTGAGTGTATATCTCCTTTTCTGAACCTTCTGAACCTCATTTTTTCCATCTAAAGAAGGAAAGAATTAGTGTTCACTTTTTTACTTGCTCTGAGGTGGTTTTTTGTATGTGAAGGGCCTAAACTTTTCTTATTAACATAGAGATATATTTTATAGGTGAAGAAAAACGTTATGAGAATATATTACATCCACCAATTGGAATATAAACTACATTTTTCATTTGTATGTTTACCTCCAGCTACTGTAATGTTTGGCTACTGACATATGAGGAAATGAGAAATTCAGATTTGGCTATAATGGAGCCACAAGTACAGGCATCCTGTACCCAGCAAGAAAACCTAAAGGACTAAATCACACATGCCTTTGCCCAAGGGCAGCCACACGAGTAAATACAGACCTGCCCCTTGACTAAAACATTCTGAAATCCTTTCAAATTTTTCTTGAATGGCTCTAAATGTCCAGTTAAAGTAGTATTAATCCTCTAGGAAAAAGTCAAGTATTAGAGTCAGAACCAGGTCTCAGAAATGCCTTAAGCTTCTTCATGGAATTTGCTGGAAGGTTACCAAGCATGTAGACTTGTTCAAGTTAGGGTGGCATTCAGGCTGGGATGAGCATTTCTGTCAGAGATGATAACTTCAGGCTGCCTTTCTAGGGCAGAAAAGAGGTAGCTCTACCCAGAGGGTGTGAGCACAGTGCAGCTCTAGAAGGAATGCCTGACTGCAGAGTGGCTATAGAGAAGGCTGTATTACTGGCTCCTTTTTGTATACTGAACAAGAGGAGGAACCAAAACTGGTTTTACTAAATATTCTCTCTCATCACTGATATTCTCTTTGTCTACTATTATTTCTTATCCTTCTCCAGTCCCCGACCACCCCCATAACAAAACAGTCCATGTCTCCTTTCAAGGTTTCATTTGTTCAAAGCTACAGAGGCAGCTGCAGCAGCACAAGGATTTTGCTGATGGCAAATATATCACATCTCATTATAAAAGATGTTCTATTTATTCCCCTCTGAAATGTCACTAGCAAAACCAAATGTACTTCTGAGCAGGCATTTGATGGAGAGTGTGCAGGATACAAAGAGCATTTTGAGCCCTACTAATCTCTCTGCACCTATCAAAAAGAACACACCAACAATGGCTTGTATAGTGTGTCCTCATTCTTATACCTCCAATGGGAAACTGGGAGGATTCATGGCTTCATATGCAGATTTCAATGAGGGAGAGTTCGACTTTGGATTGAGCACTATTTTTTTTCTATACTGAATCAAGTTAAACATCAGTGTACATCTCTTTTTCTATAGATACATTATGATAAACATCAATGTAACCTTAAAAGTATCTAAAATATGGAAAGACTATAGACAGTTTATTTGAAGGAATTTTTAATGCCCAAATGATATTCTATCTCATGGATATTTCTCTTTTTTAAAAATATATTTTTAATTGAAGATGAACACAATATCTTTATTTATTTATTTTTATGTGATGCTGAGGATTGAACCCAGTGCCTTCATGTGCTGAACAAGCACTCTACCACTGAGCCACAATCCCTGTCCTGGATATTTCTTAAGTAACTACCTTGTCCATCCCTCACCTCTAAAGTTATCTTAGTTCTAATTTTTGTTAATTAAATTATGCTAAAATAAACCTCTTTACATATAAATCTCTGCCTTTAATGTAGAAATAAATTTCATCTATTGCTTAATGTAAATTACATTTTTGGATTCCTGTTAGTGTAAATTCACTGAAGGCAGAATCTCTACATTTTTGTTTCTCTATATGCACTCAAAGGGAGAGTGATTAAAATTATATATCTTCTTAGCTTAGACTTAGGAGAAGTAAAAGTCTAATGATCAAAGATAATTCTGGCACTTAAAATTTTCTTGCCTATTTACTCATTAGTGCATGCATCTGGGCATTTTTACTGATTATCTATTATGGATAAGACATTGTAGATGCTGAGGATTAAAAGACATATGATGTATTCAAATTTATAACAGAGCTTTTTCATTTGCTAAGAATTTTTAAGTGACATGTTTAGGAACAAATGTAGGACCAACTTTGCCTCCAAGGAAAAAATGCTAATCTGAGTATATAGAGCCGTTGTGTCTTCTAAGTATATCTCCTTCAGAATCACTAGGGTGGGATTTCTCAGCCTCAGCATTAGTCATTATGGACAGGCTAACTCTGTTGGGGGTGCTGTCCTGTGCACTGTAGGATATTCAGGAACATCCCTGGCCTCTACACACCAGACGCCAGCAGTACTCCCCACCCTAAGTTGTGACAACCAAAAATGTCTCCAGACATCACCAAATGTCTCCACTCCCTACATTGAGAATTACTGCTCTAAAGGAAGAAAGGAGGCCAAAAAATAGGTCCAAAAAATATGTCCCTGGTCACATGCTATACTAGCATCAAAACTGCACCTTTAGCCAAGATTATTTATTATTCTTCTATGCAAAATAGTTTTTGTATAATAATTTTTAGTAATATGGCAATAAATACATGAATATAAATACATATCTAACGTACTTCAGAAATAAGGAGACATTAAATTAGTCCCACTTAATCAGTAAATAATACTAAATAATAACAAAGAGGCTTACTTCCTCGAAGTTCAAAAATCTCCCCAATTAACATGAAACATGGTTCAGCCAAGGCATCTTTTTTCCCATCCACATCATCACCATAATCTGACAGGTCACTGTCCTCCTCCGTCTCCTCCTAGGGGTACAGCAAAGCCACAGGAAGTAGGTTACTTATCCAAGAAAATTACAGAGTTGTTGTTGTTCTTCAAATATAAATTCCAAACTATTTGCTCATGTTTTAGCTTCATAAAATCCCTCAACTTTTACACAAAAATCTATCTATTTTTCAATGTGGAGGACAAAAATCTGTCTGACCTCAGGGAAAAGTAAGATTCCAAAGCCTAATTCAAAGTTTAAAATAAGCTAATTAAAAAAACATTCAATGGTATTAATAATCAGTGAATTCATAGGCAATTTAGAGTTTTCTAAAAATAAAACTATTTTGAGTTTTAAAAGTAAAGTTTAACAAATAATTTTACATTCACTGCTTTTTTAAAAATATGTGAATTTTAAAGTAATGCAGTTATTTTTTAAAGCTCTGCTTCAAGCTTTTATTCTGTACTTCAGCTCTTCTCATTTTCTGATCTGCATGTCAGCAAGTTTCAGTTCAAAATTTCTTATGTCAGGCACCAGGCTAGTGAAAATGAATGCAATGTGGATCCAGACTTTTCTTGGCCAATAGCCACTGGAGAGACTGACACATACACAGGCAGCTATTTTCACCAGATTGGATGAAGTATTATTACAGACATTCAAACACCAGCCAGTGTGAGGACAGCCGAGGAAGTCATTCTCATGTCTGCATGGAGGAAAAAGCCCAAGTCGTGGAACCAAGTAGCCGACAGGACTTTGGACCACATCAGGAGAGCAGAGGAAAAGACTGAGGAGAATTTCTGGAAGAAGGAGGAGTTCTCTGAAAACAGCTTGGCAGAATTCCAGCAACAACGAATGCTTCAAAGATGTGGGAGGAAGGTGAACAGTAGAGGAAGCTACTGACCCCTTCAGATAGTACCTTCAAAGTGCTTAAGCCATTCTAAGAGGTTCTGGCATAAAAAGGAGGTAATGGAGGTAAACTAGCCAAGTCTAGACAGATGAAGGAAAGAGGTGGGACAGTAGCTGGGGAGGGAGGCAGGTCCATAGACCTGAACATAGGTGTGGGTATGTTCTATGGGACACATAGGGATCTCCTAGCTCACAAGGTGGTAAAGCCATGTGCACATTTTCATGGCCAGTTCCCCTATGCAAACCCATTAAGCCAATCCTGGTGAAGAGGCATGGCATTTGCCAATGAACTAAGAAGCAGCAAAATTTCAGAGATGGTTTTATGCAATTTGCTACAGAGTCAAACAAGGGGCCTCAGTGACCTACACATGAGAGCCTGACATCTAGAATATGAGACTGATCATGTCTACAGTTTCTTTCTATTCATTCCATTACTCATACATATTGCTGACATATTCATCTTGCTTCAAAATATTCCACAGCTCTCTATTTCCTGGAGATAGTTTAAACTCCTTAGCCTGACATGAACCCTGCCTTCTCTTCCATTAGAGCACCACAGAAACCCTCCAGTCTAGTCCAATGACCTACTAACCATCCCACAAACACATCCTTCCTCTGAACCTTCAGTACTGGTACAACTACTCCATAATGACGGTCTTCAATCTGCTTCCCCATCCCCAGGGATTGTCTCCTATGGAACTTCTCATCCACAGTTCACTTATTCACCTTGTTTAGTAATCATTTTATTTATGCATCTTAACTTATCCAGGTGATTAATAGGGGAAGACAAGCAGATGACCCAAAATATAACAGAGATAATAACTGAAGATGGACGCATTTATTCTTTCCCTTCCTTAGTAATATGCATTTGCTAAGATTCTGTTATTTCAAACAGCCTTCAAAAAAATATCTACTTAAACATGCTACAAAAGTGGTAGCCTTTGGAGCACTCACCTCCTGATGGGAGAAGAAGTCACGGGGAAGTTTTTCCAAAAATGAGGATAATGAAAAAGAGTTTTTTTTCCCCTGCACATCAATGACCTTGAGGTAGTCAGGAGAAGGGCTCAAAAAGGCATAAAGTGCTTCACTCTGACACAGTCTTTCATCTGAAAGTAGCTTCTGCAGAAGAAAGAGGATTAATTACTCTAGATAAGAAATGATCTGTGCTGCTGGGAGCTACTACAAGTAAGGCAAACACATACTCTGCAGAAGACTTGCATGGATATGTGCAGTAGCAACTCAGACATAGGAAAGGAAATTAAAAGTGAGGGACACTTAGGTTAAAATTGATTGTGTCATGAATTTACTTTCATCATAATTCTGAACTTAACCCCTTCTCTCCACAATGAACTTTATATAAGATCAATTCTCAGTGTTCTTAATAGCAAATAATCCTCTCCAGGGTGAATTCCCTAATCACTGCCTGTAGGAAATACTGTGAAGATGATGGAACTCACTCAACTCTGTACCACTTTGAGAAACAAAAAATTTCTACTTTACAAACAACTCATAGATCTCAGGGGCCACTACCTTTGAAAGATAACATTCACTCATCTGTGTTTGGGTAACTTAAATGTCTGCAAATTATTCATGAATACCATTACACAACCTTTCATGGCTATGTTCAGACTTTGTACGTCTGCTGAAAAAGAAACTTCTGAATTCCATGGTGGCCCTGCCTGCCAGCAACAGTTTCATTTCACTGTGATCCACCACCTTTGAAACAATGCTTGTTTACATAATTACATAACTGTTTTTATTGGACCTTAAGCTGGAAATTATCTAGAATTCTGAATGTACTTATCTGACCTAGGGGAGATGAGGGCAGAACATAAATTGAGTATGTTTATGTACAAATACGATAAGACAGTAGAATCATCAATGTAATGACAAAAATGTGTCTATCATTCAAAGTATAGAATTTAAGAGTGAATAAGCCAATGAAACTATTACCATTTATGACGGTCACTACCAGAGGAGATGGAACACTGTGGAGCAAAATATGCTTCTGATAACAGCAACTGGGACAGTGATGAGGTTTTTTTAGTCTCAGAGGGATTAGTCCATGAGGCTTACAATCTGTTCAGATGGCAAATGACCTGACACATTCTATAAATCCACCTAGAATAACCACTTCTGAGAGGACTCAATATTATGAAACTGGGGCCAAGGGAAAAATACCCCATCACCAACAAAAAAATAAATGAATAATTAAAATTGCAATGAACCACCAGCTAAGAAGTAAAAGACAGAAAATAAGTGTTAATGAGGATGTGAAGCAATGAGAACCCTTACATGTTACTGGTGAGTCTACACTCACATTGAAAAATTACAATCCTTAGGTATTAACATATATTCTCCAAACAACAGGCAGTAGAAAAAGCCACCCTGTAAAAGCCTCAAATTCTAAACACCCATCAACAATAGAACAGATAGAGTGTAGTGTGTTCACACAAAGAAAAATCTATGCAGTAATGAAAATGATCTACAACTAAAACAACACTTGCATGAATCTCATGAATATAATGTTGAATGAAAAAGACACAAAGGAATGTGCACTGTATATTTTCACTTATATCAAGTTCAAAAGTAATGATAACTATTGCTTAAAGTCAGGACAGTAGTAAGTTTCCCTTGGTGGGGATAAGTGATGCAAAAAAAGCTGGCAGCTCCTGACCGTAAGTTTGGCACAGCTGGTGAGAACAAAAATCAAACTAGTAAGCTTTCAGGACAATGATTACTTAACTCCAAATAACTCATTTTCCTTTTCATATCTAAAACTTTTCACTTGCTTACCTGTAAAAACTTATTTAATTGATTCTTTGACTTTTCCATAAACTTGTGATCTATAGATTTGAAAGGCAGCTTGCTAAGAGAAGGCAACTGGACTTTTTTAATAGAAGGGACACACTGTAGGAGAAAAGTTAAATGTTAGTGTTTTAAAATTATATCTTAACCTTTAAAAAGATTTAGACTTATAATTAGAACAAAACAAATATCTTCCTCCTGTACTTGTGCCTCTGAGATTTAAGACCTTGAAAATCTATCCACTGTAACTAGACTTAAAAGTATCTGGACGAATAGTGCATTTGATGGAAAAAGTTAAAGCTCATCCCCAGAGCTAGAAATACCTAGAAGACATGAAATCATGAAGCTAGGCTGATAATATGGAGTTGTAATAACATGCACAGTAGCACATTATGCTTGGTATGAAAACCTGGTTCACAAAAATTTTCCTACTAGAGCAGTATTTCTAACATGTTTGTAAACAAAGTGACCCAAGTTTAAAAAAAAGGGGGGTGGGGGAAAAAGCAAACTTGGGTTGTAGTTTTATTATGCCCTGCAATGTCAAACTGTAGAAAGTAAATACATTAATCATAATAAGATATATTAATAATTAATAACAATAGATTGCCTGTTATGGATTAAGTCATACATTCTATCAGACACTGTGCTAGAAATGTGGAATGTTATTTCATCCTTAAAACAGTTCTATGAAATTTTAGGGAAGTGAAACAGCTGGAAGGGAAGATTACAATCACCAGGACCCAAAAAGGTACTTCCTGTCACAGCTGCCAACAGGAAAAATTCTCACAACAGGAAATCTTGCAAGGTAAGAAATGGCAAGATTAAGAGAAGAGCCCAGCCATCAGTCCACAAATGAGGAAAGATGATTAGACAAAAGGATACACACAGCATTTTCAAAATTTGTTTCTTATAATGCTTTAGTGTAATTATTTTTTATTTCCTAAATATATTTAATTTTATGAGTACATTTTATTTCAAAATTGCCCCTAAATGCCTTTCCTCCTTCCATTTTTATCAGCAACTAGCTTGATACTAAACTTTGGTTTCACAAAGGTTTGCCACAGGGCAAACAATGCAATTTTCTGTAGTATCAATTTTACTCAACAATTTTGGGAAGAATTTATTCTTACATTCAGATAAATATTTTGCTTTCTATATTGCTGGAGTGACCATAGTCAATTTGAGAAATTCTGTATTACGTATGGCATTTAGTTTGGGATATCATCCTTTAAAAAGCAGTTGAAGAAGTTCAACATTCAGAAGCTAGTGATTAAGAGAGTTTAAAAAAAATCACCTTAGGAGACAAGATTAAAGGAAACAGACATATTTCATTTGCAAAAGAGGAGTCTAAGAGGTGACCACAAGAGTTTTTCCAGTTGTAGTTAATTTTGTGCAAGACAAAAATAGACTTGAATTAAAGTAGAAATGACTGAAGAGCTTTTCATTGCTGGGGAAACAGCAATTATCTCCAGTAGGAAGAGAGTTAGAGAAGATTCAAGGTCTGAGGAAAAGTAGGAGAATAATAAACTAAAAGCAAGATGATCTCAATTCTAATCCGATTTGTTCACTATGAACATGTCTAATGACAGACAAGTCAGTTAATTCTTGAATCAGATATAAAATTATCAAATATAAAAATTGACCTAGATTAGTGGCATGCAAACATTTTTGACTAAAACCCACAGTAGGAAATACATGCTACATTGCAACCATAATGTAAATACACATATCCAGGGGCGGGGGTTGTGGCTCAGTGGTAGCGCGCTTGCCTAGCATATGTAAGGCACTGGATCCAATTCTCAGCATCACATATAAATAAATAAAATAAAGGCCATTGGCAACTAAAAGATATTTTTTAAAAAATAAACTAGGCATTGCTTTAAAAAAATACATCCGTCCTTGGGCTGGGGTTGTAGCTCATTGGTAGAGCACTTGCCTTGCATGCATGAGGCCCTGGGTTCAATTCTCAGCACCACATAAAAGTAAATAAATAAAAATAAAGATATTATATCCATCTACAACTAAAAAATAAAAAATATACATATCCATATGTGTATCTTATGTACACATATAAAACAAAAGTGAAACAGTGGTCATTACTGCAACTATTATTATTAGTAAAACACAATAATGCCTAATATATGCCGCATGTTCTTCTAAATGCTCTGTATACATTTATTCCCTTAGTTCTCACAATAACCCTGTGAGGTAGGTGAACAGGAACTATTAATATTTCTATTTCACTGATGAGGAGAGTATAAAAAATTGAGTGATGAACCCCGGGCCACATTTTTTTAAGTCTCTTTGTGTAAAGTTAGGATTCAGAGTGGAGCAGTCTGGAGGCTCTAGAGGCTGTGCCTCTGTTAGTAAATGTGAGGGCAGCCAATATACTTTACTCTCCTACGTAACTCATAATTGGTTTCACTTCTCATTAAGGGTCACAACTGGCAGCTTCAACACCACTGGCCCTATGTGATCCCTGGTCACTTGTAGCTCTGAGGCTCTATGGCAATTTACAATGAAAATTAGACAACTGTCTGTCTTAAAGGATCAGACTAGATTTGGACCTATGACTAATTTCCAAATGTCAGGCTGAAAATGTCACTGTGCCAGTATCAACAGCAAAGAGAAAGACTAATCAGTTTTCTTATGTGTGAAAACTAGAATGAACTCTTGAATCTCTTTGTGCTCAGTAATGCTAGAATCTTGCATTCATGAGTTTTCATACCTCACTAAGTTTCCGGTGTAAATTCTGAAACTCACTGAGCCTTCTTGGGACAGTCCAGTTTTTAGATTCAACTCCTCCAACTTCTTGTAGGCTTACTGTGACAAAGTAACAAGGCATTTGCTCACCATTCTCTTCTGTAACCTTGAAAAAAAATCAAAATCAACAACCGAAAGCAAGGTGAGAGGATGTAGTAGGAAGGTTTTAAAATGTCCTCTGAGCCCTCCCTCTCCCTGGTGTGCCCTGCATAATGCCTGGGTCTGTGAACATGGATTGTATTCTGACAATTAGGTTATGCAATATGGCACAAATCTTCAGACAGAAGCTATCTGGGTGGTTCTAACCTAATCATATATGAGCCCTTTTAAAAGCAGAGAGTTTTTTTCTGGCAAGTAACAGAAAAGGAAGTCAGAAAGTCTGGAAGTCCAAGAAAGAGGCCAGAAAGGAAATAGAGACCTCTGATCTTCAACCACAAGGAACTGAATTCTGCAAATAAACCTGAAAATCTTGGACACTTTTTATTTATTTATTTTTTTTTACCCCCAGATGCCCCAGATAAGGACTCAGTCTGGCTAATGCCTTGACTTCAGCCTGTGATACAATGGACAAAGAACTATCCATACTGTACCTACTTCTGACTTACAGAGGTGTGAGGTGATAAAGGGTGCTGTTTTAAGCTAAGAAATCTATTATACAGCAAAATAAAACATACACAGTAGGCTTAACCTCTTAAGTGTACTTCCCTGACAAAACACATTCATAGCAAGCAAAGAGTTATCAGATAGTGAGAGCCTCTTTCAGGGAAGGCTTGAGGGCCTCCTCGGTTCATATCAGGACTCAATAACCCATGATTGCTGTTTTTGTGAAATTTTACATTGTGAAATCTTACAACTTAATTCTCACACACATGTATACATGCCTGCCATCATAATTTAGAATAGGCCACTATTATTTTTAACCTAAATAGATAAGAAAATACATTGAACATTTGTCTAAATCAGTATCAAAAACTGAATTAGAGAAAAAGAGTCAATAAGAAAGGCAAAAGGAAGAGATGCAAAGTTTACTGAAAAAACCCACTCTGCTCTGTGAGGTAGGGAAACTGTTCCCTGCCCCCATGGATGGGAAAGTAGAGGCAGAGACAGGGTAATGGACTTTCCTAGGACCACACATCTGATGAATGGGTCCCCCAGGATCAGAAGTCAAGAGTCTGGCTCCATGTAAATGCATCTTCCACACATTTGTATGTGGGATTGCTTTGTGATTGCTGGCTGTCAGGTGACTCCTCTGTATCCATTTCCCTTATCTTGTCAGTGACAAGGACCACAGCAAACCCCAGTGTAATGGCTGATGACCAGGGCAAAGTACCTTTGGGGATTTCCACTTCATCTCTCCCTCCTTCCCTCCCTGAATATCTGACTACTGGAAATACCACAGATAGCTCTAAGCAATGCTGAGGTGACGAAATTTGTGTTCTTTCCCTTCAACAGGTTTCCTCTACTACCCTTTGACATTATGTACCCTTGAGCCCATCACGTTTCTAGATTTCACCCCAAATAATAACTTCATCTGCAATTACCAACTACTATATTTTTCATATGGTATTCCAAGGCCTTCCCTGACCTCTAAAAAGGTATACTGTCATATAGCTGCGCTAATGGGAGTGACAACAAGTGCCAAAGGGCATTTGGTTAAACTCTTTCAGGGAAGCTCTTGGAAAACTGCTTTGTTTTATCATCTATCTAGAAGTGAACTTAAGATTGTGAATTTTAAGCCCTCCCCCAGCAGGAGTGTCAAGTCACTCATATGATAGCAGAGAAGAACAAAGACAGCCATTTGAAACAATGACAAAGCAAAACAATAACAATACCTTCTCAGGATATTGCTATCTGTACATAGTAGACATGATTTTTGTCTCCAGGTTTCCACCTGAGTGACAGGAGGGAGTTGTCATGCCTATAAGAAGCATCTTTCCTCCGAAGTGAAATTAGAGTCTAATTTATGTAACTGCACACTGTTATCCCATTCTCTCAAAGAACAGTCAGGTAATTAAAAGGGAAAACATTCATTATTAAAGAACTTAGAATGTCTGAGGTTTAAGCAATTCAAGTCAGCAAGATGGAACAATCAGATGTTCTTAAATTTTTAAAACTAAGTTTCAAAAAGTCCTTTCTATTTTATTTCAATCATCATCGGAAAAATAAATTAACCCTAACCCTGGCCCTAACCTTCAGGTGCATTAAATGCTCTGATAGCAAAGTTGCTTGCAATTCTAGTGAACAAGAGCAACTTTTCATACAAAGCAGGGTAAGATCAGATCTGTATCAAGCAGCCTGTGATAGTTACTAACTCCAGGCAAAACTGAGTGAAAATATTGAGGGAAGGAAGACAGCAGACAAGTATGGTCTAAATGAACGAGAGAGATTTTCTAGCATCAGTTTTAATTCTCAAGAACAAAATTTTGCCTTGTAAAGTCAAACTTTAAAATAAATATCAGGCAAAAGTAGTGAAGCCTACCTCTCCACTGGTGATGGACGCTTTCCACAGGCCAAGGTTCTCACACCACCAATCTGTTCTCGCCATGTGCAGTTGAAGGTCTGTGCGTTCTTTCTCTATTAGAATTATTTCATCCTTCAACTTGGAAACAATCTGCCATAGGAAAACATCCTGAGAGTTATGAAAGCACTTAAAAAGCTATGCAATTCAGCAAAGTGTCAGGATACAAAATTGACACACAAAAACCAGGTGTGTGTTTTTATATACTAACAATAAACAATCGAAAAAGGAAATTAAGAAAACAATCCCATTTACAATAGCAGCAAAAAGAATAAAATACTGATGAATTAACCAAGGAAGTGAAATATGAAAACTATAAAACACTGATAAGAAAATTAAAGACAACAAATATTTACAAAGACATCTCAAGTGCATGAATTATAAAACTTAATATTGTTAAGAGGTCAATACTATCAAGAGCAATCTACACATTCAATGCAATCCCTATCATTATTTCTACGAATTTTTTTTGTAGAAATAGAAGCATCCCATCCTAAAATTCAGGGAGACCCAAATAGCCAAAATAATTTTGGAAAAGAACAAAGTTGGAAGACTCACACTTTCTGATTTTAAGACTTACTACAGAACTACAGTAATCAAAACAAAGCAGGACTGACATAAAGACAGACCTAAGAACCAATGGAATATAAAAGGGAACCTCAAAGGAAACATTCCCCTATACAGTCAAATGATTTTCAACAAGAGTGCTGAGACTATTCAATTGGGGAAAGATGCAGTTTTTTCAACAAATGGTGCTAGAAAAATGGATATCCATGTGTAAAAGATGAAGTTGGATCCTTATCACATAAAACAAATACCTGAAGATGGATCAAAGACAGTAGCTTAAGTAGTACAGAATTATAAAAACAAAATAAAGTATAGGGGGAAAGTATAATAATACTAGATTTGGCTATAATTTTTTGGCTATGATACTAAAAGCATACTCAACAACAACAATAACAAAAATAGACAACTTGGACTTCCTCAAAATTAAAAACATCTGTGAATCAAAGAACACTATCAACACAGTAAAAAGGCAAACCATAGAATGGGAGAAAATATTTATAAATCATACATCTGATTAAGCTTCAACATCTAGAATAAAAAAGGAAATACCTAAAACTCAAAGATAGCTAAAAACAAACCAAAAAAAAAAAAAAAACCCAAGTAAATAAATAAATAAAAACAATTACAAAATGGGCAAAGGATTTGTATAGACATTGCTCCAAAGACAATTATGCAAATGGTTAACAGACACATGAAAACATGCTCAACATTACTAATTAGTAGGAAAATGCAAATCAAAAGCCCAATGAGGGCTGGGGTCAGGTCGTGGCTCAGTGGTAGAACGCTTGTCTAGCATGTGTAAGGCACTGGATTTGATCCTTAGCATTGCATAAAAATAAATAAATAAAATAAAAGGTATTGTTTCCATCCACCAAAAAAAAAAAAATCCATTTCTCACTCATGAGGAGGAACAGAAAGAATAAGATAACAAGTATTTGGAGGACATGGAAAGACTAGAACCCTTGCATACTGTAAAATGGTGCAGATGCTATGGAAAATAGTATGAAGGTTCCTCAAAAAATTAAAAATGGAATTATTAGACCCAGAAATTCCTTTTCTAGGTATACCCCCAAAGAAATGGAAACAGAATCTCTTAAGAGATATTTATGTATTCATGTCCATAACATCATTCATTATTTACAATAGCAAAATGGTGAAAGTTAGCCACTGTTTATTGGTGGATGAATGGATTAACAAAACAAAACGTGGCATTCACCTGCAATGAACTTAAAAATGAATAAAATTCTGACACATGCTACAGGATAGAAGAACCTTCAAAGACATCATGCCATGCCAAGTAAAAAAAAGCCAATCATAAAGGATAAATATAGTATGATTCCAGTCATCTGAGGTACATCGAATAGTTCAATTCATGGAGACAGAAAGTAGAATGGTGGTCCCCAGGGGCTGGGAGAGGAAGAAATGGGAGTTACTCTTTAAGGGATACAGAGTTTAAGTTTCTCACAATGAAAAAAATTCTGCCGATGGATGGCGGTGATGGCTGTAAAACAACATGAATGTCCTTAATGCCACTGAAATGCACACTTAAAAATGGCTTAAGTAGTAAAATTTGTCATATATTTTTACCACAACTTTAAAATATAAATATATTTAAAATTTTTTTCTGCTTGTCATCATCTTGGATCTCTTATGAGAAAACCTACAGGGTTATGTAACTCTGTAGCTTAAGGACTGCAGCTTTGCCTCCATAGGAACTCTCATGAATATGCAGTGTCTCCCAGGTTTCTTTCCTTCCTCAGAAGGCCTAAAGGAAAGCCCTCCCGACTGTGCCCTTTTATCATCAAAAAGGGCTGTGACTACTTCTTAGACAGCACTTCTGCTGGATGAGGGCAGGTGTCAGGCTTTGCTCCACAGTGACTAGCACAGCATTATGCATTTACTCATCATTTCCATTACTGAGATTCTTCCTCGTTAGTGATATACTCCCAATATTGACCTAGAATTGGAAAGTTTGCTCCAGTCTCACAAAATTTCTCTAGAGAAATAAAACAAAATAAAATCTGGGCATTGGATTTCAGAAAATCAAGCTAAAAGGCCAACTGGACATCCAGTAGCCAGTGACACTGTTAGTGCAGAGATTCGAGAGAAGAGGAATGGTCAGCAAACTCCTGACTTTCTTTCTTGAGGGGAAGAAGACTATACTATTATATGCATAGGGAAATGGTCTGATTCATAATTAGACAGTTAATCCACAAAAGTCTTTCTAGCACAAGATTTTTGTGGGGTGTGTGTGTTCATTGCTAGGTTACTAAAACCTTTTCAATATCTATCTTAAGCTTTAAAAAGTCAATTATCAGATATTTTATTTTTTACCAATGTGAATGAAGGACATAGAAGGAACACAATGTGTCCTTCTGGGGAAAAGTACCAATTGCCTTACATCATGCAGCCCTCTATGCCCAGCACAAAACTGCTGAAAAGCAAAGTGCTCCCTGAAGCAGCCTGTGGACAATTGGATTTAACAGGAAATGTGGACTATCTTTGCTATGATCATAAGATTAGTGTTCAAATTAACCCATAATAACAGTGAATCGCTCCAATCTCTTGAGAATTCCTTCATGTAATTAAAGCTCAGAATGTTTACTCCATGCTTATTAGAGATTCATGTAAGAATAGCTAAAGAATAACTTTGAATGAAATGATGAACCAAACAGAAAATAATGAAGATTTTCTAGTTCATCTTTCATACTGCTCCCTCAAAATACATTTTAATTTATAATGAGATGAATCCAGAATAAGAAAGTCAACTGTTCTTAAAGAACACACCATATTGCAGATACTGATCATCTACCGTGTCAGCTAATTCTACTTATTATCTCAAAGATGTTTCTATCAGTGGGAAAACTGCAGGGCTTTACAAGTTCTATATGTACCAATTGGGGGGAATGATTCTATTTAAGGGGGGAAATAAACCTCTCTTAAAACAACCCAGGAAAGCTGAATTTTTTTTTCTCAGAAAATCATTAATGATTACTAAAGTGTCTTTCATATTAAACTTTCTTTTGCCTGATAAAATTTATTTTCACTACTTGGGATTAAACCTAGGGAAACTCTATCACTGAGCTATATCCCCAGCCCATTTTATGTTTTATTTTGAAACAAGGTCTTGCTAAATTGCCTAGGCTAGCTTAAAACCTGTGATACTCCTGCCTCAGCCTCCTGAGGAATTATAGGTGTGAGCCACTACACTTGACTCCCATATAATTTTTTAAAAAATCATTACTAACAGAGTTTATACACCTTTGCAGAACTTTCTTCTTGTTTTTTTTTCTTCTTTTTTAAGGAAAACTCACTGGTTTAACTGGATAATAGACAAATAGATGTTATGATTATATAGATTGTGAATAGGTACAGAACACATTGTTTCCTTACATTTTATTTCAGGAATATTCTCTTATTACAAAAGCATTTGAATCTCCACAAAAGAAGTACTAAGTACTAAAGAAGCACTAAAGAAGAAAACCCAAAGTGATCCACTTAAATTGTTTTATTCAAAGTTGCTCTGTTGGCCAGTTTGAAACCCTCACACACACACATTCAGGAACTGCCAGAGGAGACCCATTTGGCTGAACAAAGAACATAAGCCATACCCTGTGAGAAAAAACCTCCAAAGAGGCATAAAGACAAAGCAAAAGGCTGCCACACAGCTTAGTCTGAGAAACGCCAACTAGCAAAATACTGTTTACATTTTTAAACTTTCAAATTTTCTTGCTTTTAGAAAAGCAACTTATTTGTCTTCACAATTCTGTGAGATTTTCTATTCTTGTGTCAGTAGGAAAAAAAATTTTCCCCCCCAAATTTGTCCTTGAGTATGAAACTTACTTCCAGAAATGATTTCAGCACAAGAGAAAGCTTAAGCCTCTTCCCCCAAAGGTACTGTTGGCAAAGCAGAATCAACTGTGAGCAACTGGTCACAGCAGATGACTCAGAAAAAACTCCAAATCAGAAAAGACTAAAAACAAATGCTTTTCTAATTCTATCCTAGAAGCAAAACCAAAATAATACAAACAAAAATGGAATTTGCTCATAGTTAAAATTCTTTTTTAAAGAAATTGACATTTCTCAACATAGTTTGAAAACTAATACTTATCAAATTAAACAAATAGAAACTCAGAGACAATCTTTTTTTTTAAATAATTTTTTTAGAGAGAGAGAGAGAGAGAGAGAATCTTAATATTTATTCTTTAGTTTTCGGCAGACACAACATCTTTGTTTGGATGTGGTGCTGAGGATGGAACCCGGGCCGCATGCGTACCAGGCAAGCGCGCTACCACTTGAGCCACATCCCCAACCCAGAGACAATCTTGAAAGCAAAAAAGAGTTACCTTCTTGTCAGGTTTTGGTGCACTTTGAATAGAATTTAGAGCTTGCCTTTTATATTCAAGTTTCTCATTTAGTTCTCGGAGTTTGTTGACAGCAAAATTGGTATGTTCATTAATCCCACTGGCACCTTCATCTAAAGGTTCCTCACTAGCCTCATTTTCCAGGCCCTGGAGGAAAAGCCACACACCACCATGTCTTATGATGATAAAAATAAATAAATAAACCTTAGCAATTATTATCTTTTATGCAGATGTTATATCATCACAGGACACCATTCCAAAGTACTAGATTCCAATAAAGGAAAAAATACTTAAACAGAATGCTTAGAAGCAGAGTGTTTTCTTTTTTCAACAACGAGAAAAATTGAAGTAATTGGTATTCAGAATTGTGTTGAAAAGGGAAATATTTAATAACCTGAAGAAGGTGGGAGAGCAGGGTTGCATGGTGTTATTCTCTAAATGGTACATCCAAGGAAATCTGCATAGAACAAGGGAAGGCAACTGAGTTATCATCCCAACTTGATCTGAAAAATCTATACCTAATCTTTGACAGAGATCTTGCTTCTTTCCTAACAATATTATGAGAAACTAACGTAAGTCACTTTAAAATAAAAATTCTAAATTCCACATTTTCGTAAGTACTTTGTTCGGTCCTTCTCTTGAAGACATATTTTGTAAATTAATAGGCAGATAATTTTACCAGCAAAGTAGCATTTGAAAATGACCTAAGTGTAATAAAGAACTACACAACTTGGAAAAATCTGAATAGATTACCAAACAGCACAGGAATTAGATTTCAGAATAACCAACAGCACACAGAGCACTGAATGGAGCTGCTGAGAAGTATCTTCTGGTTTGTTCACTCTTTAATTTTCTTCCAGACTTTCTTCTTCTAATTTTTACATAAGTACATTCATTCATTCACTATTTATTTTATTTATTTATTGGTACTAGGGACTGAGCCATGGGTGTTTACCACTTAGCTATATCCACAGCTCTTTTTATTTTATTGTTTTTAATTTTAGAGACAGGGTCTTGCTATGTTGCTAAGGGTCTCACTAAGTTGCTGAGGTTGGCTTTGAACTTGTGATCCTTCTGCCTCAGGATTACAGATATGCACCATCGCACCAGGCCTAATTTTTATTAACTGTAACAAACATAAAGTTAGATTTTTTTTTCCAAAGACAAAATAATAGTACTGGTAGTTCTAGAAAAACAAGATGTTTTCATTTTTATTCTTTCTACTCATTGTTTTAAATATATGCATTATTATGTAATCCTATACCTTGTACTCATTAAAGTGGGTATTCTACCCTTTTCAAAAAATATAAAGTAGTATATTTTAAGGCTATAATAGTCTTCAAAATTATAATTTTTTAGCTTCATTGTATTCTACTGTACTGACAATTTATGGAGGTGTATTTCTATTGTTATTCCTGCTATGAGTCAACTCTTCTTTTTTTTTCTTTCGTTATCTCACTGCCTCAGATGTACTAAAACAAACTCCATCGTGCTTAAAAAATTTCCTTCATTTTAATCATTTTCAAACATTTCTAGAAGTTACCACTTCCAGGATTATTGAAACAAAGAATACCAATAGTTTTCAAAAGGTCAATAGTACACATTGGCCTTCTTTTAATCCTAGGTGGTAGACCTTTTATGAGTTTGTTTATGGTTACCTCTCACTTCAACTGTCAGTTCAAGTCCTTATTTGACTTATCTTTTTATTAATTTGAATAATATGTTTTACAGCATTTGCTAAAATATTAACAATTTAAATATCTGAAGTAGGAAGATGACAGTTAAAACAAACTGTGATCTATCTTTAAAAAAAAATTGCAATGAGTAGTGAGATGACCAATCAGTTCAGTGATTTTATATGTAAAGAACTAACAGCCAGGCACAGTGGTGCACGCCTATAATCCCAGCAGCTCAGGAGACTGAGGCAGGATGATTGCGAATTCAAAGCTGGCTTCAGCAACAACAAAGCACTAGGCAACTCAGTGAGATCCTGTCTCTCTAAATGAAATACAAAATAGGGTTGAGGATGTGGCTCAGTGGCTGAGTGCCCCTGAGTTCAATCCCTGCTACCCCCCTAAAACAAATAAACAAAAAACTAAGTAGCAAAACCTTAAAACAATTCTAAGAAAAGATCATAAAATGTAACAATAGTTCAGAAACCTCAAACTGACTTCAAATACTATTAAGAGCAAAGATTCCTCAGAATTGGAGATACAGAGAACTGGGCAGAGAAAAAAAATCCAGGATAAATTATAATCTTTTTATGTACTAATCTTAAAGATGTAGTCACCATTAGTAAATGAGAGAAGTTACTTGAAGCTATTCAAAATGACTGAGTAGACACTATAAGAAAATTAGACCTAAGGTATGGCTTACCAAGATTTCTTTAGAACATTTTAATTTCATCTGATTTTTTAAAACTCCAAAATAGTTACTTTAACTCCTTCCATATCCCTTTTTTTTCATCCACCCCGCCCCCCAGCCCCTGCCAACCCTTTTCTCACTAATTGGAGGCTAGACGATAGCTCTACTGATTCCTTTATCTGGCCTAAGCCAGGAATGATCTATTCTTATTTTTCAGGAGTCAAACTAGGGTTGTATCTAAGGCAGGCAAAGGTTTCGACTTAGTACTGATAGTGGTAGCAAATTGGCTGGAAGGGCAGAAAAGGGAAGAAAGAATTGTACAAGATCAGAAGCAACGAGTTAATTGAACTTCTTATTCTACTTAAAATCCTATATATTAAAACATGGAGATGTACATCAAATTTAGCTCCTCTAATATGTGCCCAATGAATAATATTTAAAGCTTATTCACTGAAAAAGAAGTCAAAAATTAAATTTGACTCACCATATCATCTTTGTTGGAAATCAATTTTGAGACATGTTTTTCTTCCTCTTTTATCATCAATTTCTCATACAAATCACTGACGATAAATGAAGGGTAATATCTATCCTTTAAGGTCTCATATACATCTCCTTGGATTTTGCAGAACACCTCAATACCTTTATTTCCTACAAGACATTGCTGGATTTCTTTGTAAAGTGATTTTTCTACAGATATGTCTTTGCTTTCCACAAAGAAATTCTGATAAATTTCACCAACTAATTGTGGAATTTCATTCTGAAAAGACAAGAGTTGAAGAACATGAAGGGTAAGTAATATTATCTCTGAGAGAAATTATTTTCCACTGAATTGTTTGCATTTTAAGGCTGGAAGGAAGATATTTGGGATGTATCCTGATACTGTTACCACTGCAGAGCTTAGACTTCTGTGTCCATGTTCAGAGTTAAGGGATAAGTGTTAGGCCCTGAAAAAATTACTGGTTTCTTAAAATAAGCACCTTATGTCAAACAGTTAACATCTGTAATTTCTTTTAAAAGCCAGAAATGGAGGAAACACAAGAATTAGAAATTCTCTTTCTGCAGTGGATAGCTTTCCATAAATCTCAATTCCACAAGGATACAAATTATTGACGAAAATTCATCTGACTTTTTATCAAAATGAATACTTGTAAGTCCTCACTCACTAATATAAATAATTTTTATCCCAGAAATATATCAATATAGTAGTCGTACATTTTGAAAAAAGAAGACAGATATTCTTCAAAATGTTAATGCAGCATAATTACATTGTCATCAACCTTATACTGATCAGCTTAGTCTTACACAGTACACTTGGGTCACCACTGGCCTACTTCAGAAATGCCAACATCTCTTTTGATTGACATAATATTTACACTTCTTCTAGAGATACTTAACTCTAGGAATGGTATGTAAAGTTCTCAACAGTAGTGAAAATAAAATACATATAGTAATGAGCTGCTAGGTGAAAATGTGGCTATTTTGAGGAAACTGTATGCTCTTATTTCTTGAGAATTTTGAAAACATAGTTAGTTGTTTAAGAAAACTCTTTAGATTGTTCTTTACTGTATTCTTTTGAGAGGAGCTAAAGGTGTTGATTAAAAAAAGCAATGAAGTTGCCAAATACAATAATGGGTAAAATAAGGTAATTTGTGGTTTGTAACTTAACAATGAGAAATATTCCTAAGACAAAAATTTTAAAATACTGTAAGTCTATATTTAGTTCCTTAACCAAGGCAGTTTGTGATTTATAATGTATTTTAAATTAACATTCTGTTCTAGCAAAATTCATAAGCAAATGAGCAATTCAATACACAAGAATGCTCTCTGTGCTTCTATTAATAAACCTCTGGAAATGTTATACACTGATATATTTCATGTATATACATTAAACATATTGCTATGTATGTATGTAGACATATGCATACATATACACTAAAAATGTATAGACATTTATTCTTTCTCTTTTTTTGAGATAGGGTCTTGCTATGTTGCCCAGGCTGGCCTCAATTACTAAAGCTATTCTCCCACCTCAGCCTCCTGAGTTGCCAGGACTATATCCCATGCCCAGCTAATTTGTATTATCTATTCAGAACCTGCAAGTACAAAGAACACTGTTTAACCATTGGCTTCTTCATTGACAGAGGCATACATAACCACAAATGTACTTTATGTTCGTTTATTCAATCAAATTTTAAATGAAATTAAAGAAGAGTTGTGAAAAATACATATTATAAAGTGAAGAATAAAAATGAACAAAAAGGAAAAATGAGTATTATGCTATAATAAATGGCAAGGTTATGAGACTGAGGTGAACAAGACCAAATTTATTAAATAGCAATTTAATCTCTTAGGACACTTATGAATCTCTTTTCCCCATGACTACACATTCCAAAATATAATTTTATTTGTCAAAACAGGCTAAGATATAATGACAATATTATATTTAGATTAAAATATTCTTTTAATGTATACTTACAGCTGTGTTGAGAAAAGAGACAACATGCCTAATATGCAATTTTCATCAGCTAGGAATTAAAAATCCCTTGAGCCTATATATACTACCTTGTTTGCACTCTTTAAATGTTCCACAGACTCCCAAAAACTAATTAGAGCTCTTTTGTCCATCCTTTCCATGTATAATCGAAAGTGCTCTCGGTACAAAGGATTGGTCAAGATCTCTTCAAACTGAAGAATCTATAATAGAAATTTAAGAAAAATATTTTTAAAATCAAATTTTAAATGCCAGTTTGCTTTAACTTCGAACAGATTAACTTCTACATTTAGGGAAGAATGCACTTTTAAGGTCATAGCCAACGTAAACTGAAATATCTCATCTACCATCTTCCTAAATTTTAAAAGGAATAAAACTTGCTGAATATTCAAAATGCATATATTCAAGAGATACCAATTTTCTATTAATCATTCACTCACTCAACAAAGATTTACTTGACATCTACTTGGTATCAGGTACAGTTCTAGAAATAGATAAAAATCCCTACAGGAAGTATATTCTATGCCAAAAACTCAATAGTTGCCAGTGATAGAAAAAATTAAAGAGAATGTATAAAAAGACCAAAAAGCTGGAGTCTAAAGGTTTAGAATTTTGTTTTCCATCATATTTTTATACAGCTGAGGAATACACAAGTGATTTTATATACTGACTTTTTGTTTACAATACCACACTCATTAAAAAATCTTTTGTAAGCATCATTTTAATTGGTCCCTAATATTCCATTGTTGGATATACCAAACTCAATTCTACTACTCCTTTGTTTACTACTCTGTATATTCACAGAAACAGAAAAAGGAATCTACCTGAAGACACAGAAAGAACAACCTTGAATATGGATGGCTCTAATGTGAGAAAACAGATGATCTCCATAACAATGTATAAAACTCAATTAGGTAAAATGATTCATTTAGCCATAACTTTTGCCTGAATTAGTGGTAAAAATTTATATCTAATAAGTGGAACTAAAAAACTTTAAGTAAAAACTCATATATTGAGATTCTTAAAATTAACATCATGGCAGTTGGCAAATTTCTCAACTATTACCAGTAAGATATTTCTAAAGTCAAGCACATATAATCAATGTACATTCAACTCTTCTATCCAACAATGAGCCCTTGCTTAATATGCTTTGCGGGTAGAAAAAGAAAGGCATTTTCTAACAACTTCTGGTACCTAACTAAAGGAGATGGCCATTCATTTTGTACAGACCATTAGTAATCAGTTTCCATATATATTTCAAGGCATTAGTATTTAGTCAGTTTACTAATTTTGTGACATCACAACAGATATCTTTACTTTGTGTAAATCCTACCAGTAGAGCATTCTGAAGCACAAATTCTAACTCTACTATAAAGAGGCTTAAAGTAACTCACATCAACTTTGGCAACAGAAGAGAGAAGATGGGGTTAACAACTCCAGCAACAGATGAAGCCAGGGGACCTTTTTAGACTCAAATATAGAGTCCTAGACTACACTCAGTACTATTCGTTTTGGACTGGACTTGGATGGAATGAATAAACTGATGTGAAAGTTGGCTTTTCTTTAGAAAAGGTTAGATATGTATTGTCACTAATTTCTAAACCCCAAATATTTTCTACTCTGTCTACTAGATTACTTTCATTTTGTTTTATAATTACTTTGAACTTTTTTATTAATTTACTTATTTTTTGGTACAGGGATTGAATTCTGGGGCACTCAACCACTGAACCACATCCCCAGCTCTGTTTTGTGTTTTATTTAGAGACAGCGTCTCACTGAGTTGCTTAGAGCCCTGCTATTGCTGTGGCTGGCTTTGAACTTGCGATCCTCCTGTCTCAGCCTCCCCAGCTGCTGGGATTACAGGCATGTGCCCCCACACCTGGCCTACTTTAGCCTCTTTGAGAACAGGGATTCTATCTTACTCGTTTTGCATCCTAATATTTATCACTATGCCTGAGAGATTGTGGGCCTTCATTAATGTTAATTAAATGAATGGATTAATGAAGAATGAATAGGACATAAATTAAGACTTCATCTATGACAAATGGGGCTAGACATTTATTTAGGAGACCAAAAGTTGAGGGAAAGAAAGAAGAAGGAGAATATTCAGCCTACCAAATTACTCTTACATTCACCAAAATGTGAAGTTTTCACTTTGGATCAAAATCCAAAATCTCAGAAAGTTTCCATTGCCAATAGCAAAATTAACAGATCTCTCATAGGCAGGGTACTCCTCTATAAAATAAGGGTCCCTTGGAGCTGCACTTGTGCTATGTGTGTAAGATACTACAGAATTCTGGGACAGAAACCTGCCTGAACAGGCTCCAATGGAGACTAGTCCAGGAACAAGTGAAAAAGTACAAAGCACATCACTAGAATAGGGATGCAGGGGAACGTGACAGACAAGCATCTGATCCAAGTTGAAGAAGAGCAAGAAAGATCAAGAAATCAGAACAGATGAAGGTTAGAAGCTTATAGATGCCGGCTTCTTTGTGACTAACAATAGCTTACAAAAAAGGATCTTGGCATTTGCCTTTCAGTCCTGGTCCCAGATGGTACAGCCAAACTCTTCAGGGTATACTGATGGTTTCCTTCCATCCCAGCATGCTCCAGGTCTTGTAAGACAAACTTGGTCCTTTAGAGTTAGGATAAGACACTAAAGTAGGGCTACATCATGTTCCTAGGCTCTGTGATTTAAAGACTTGGTAGCAACACAATCCAGAGTTTTGTAATACAAAAAGTCATTGGCATTATGGTTTAGAGAGAAAGCACTTAAGACTGTGAATCAGTCACATCTGTGTTTTTAATCTAGTTCTGCCTCATTCTATCTATGTGTCCTTAGGTAGGTTACTTAAATATAGCATTTTTTTTTGAAAATGAAGATATCAATTACAAATTTCATAGCATGTGGCAAGGAGTAAGCAAAATAATGCTTAAGATGCTTTCTACTTCACAGGTGGTTATTTCAACCAACTGAGTGAACGACTTGATTGGAAACCTACAAATAAAAACATGCTTCTCTGAAACTGGGGGAAAACAAGGGGATAAGATGCAATGGCACATATGCACACATGCACACCCTTGCCATGCCTACATTCTACTGTTGATAGAAGTCAAGGACACCAAGTAACAGGGTTCTTTTACTCATAAAAACAAGTATGTGAGTCTGTAATTACGGAACATATGTCTTAAGTGAAATACTAAAAAGCTAAAAGACTATATATGTGGTTACATCATTGTTTATAATAAAATTATAAGGTCAAAATAAGAAACTAAAAAGTTCTACCTTCTGGCTTTGAGGCCCTTCCCCCTCATCCAAGGCCCCATCTTCTTGCTGGTCATAGGCAGGACCTCCCAGAATTCTGATCCTCTTTTCACACTGCTTCTTTGCCACAGTCAGTTGGTTAATGTACCTTTTCATATTCCTGGCCCTCAGGAGATCAGCTTTCATTGCAGCAGATTCCTTACCTTGAATATAAGTGATGAATAGAACCCAGTCAGAGGACAAGGTATAAAAGAGGGAACACAATAACTCTTTATTTTGAAAAATAGCAAAATTAAGCAATAGAATAGAAATCATGATAAATACATCTATATTCCCAAATAACAGTAGTTTCTGAATATATCACTGACAAATTTACCCAAATGTAAAAATTTTTATTAAACCTCTGTATGTAAAAGTTCACAAATTAAATGTATATTTAATATCTTGATATGGATGTGTATATATACATATTCATTTGTAGGTCTGTATTGAATGCTGTATCTGTTAGGCACTGTTTTGGCTTTTGAGATTCAGGACCAATTGTTGGACCACATAGAGTTTATGAAGGAAGAAAACCAAAGATGATACAAGCAATTAAAAGTATAATGTGGGTTATAAAAAGATGAGGAGATACCACTGAACTGTTTAAAAGAGAATTCTAACCCAGGTTTCCTTAAAGAAATCACATTCAAACATGAATATGAATACAGTGTGGCAGTCAAGAAGAACAGCAAGGGTTAAATGAGAACTCTAAAGAGAAAAAAACTTCAAGACCCTATATAGCAGATGCAAAAGGGAAGGGAGATCCAAAATAAACTGGAAATAGGTACAAGCCAGAAGATGCAAATATTTTGGGGCCAGAGAAAGAACTTTGTTCGTTAGCCCCAAAGTGAAGCTTTTAGTGGATTTTCAGCAGGGATATGCCATGAATGGATTTATATTTTAAAAGATAACAAAGGAAGCAGGAGGAAAAAAGAGAAAGTTCTAGTTGGGAAACCATTGTAGCAAAACTGCAGAGGGACAAAGTGATGGCCTAAATTAGGTTCATGCCAGTGGCAGCAGAAAGGACTGGAAATGTTGAGAATGACAGATCCAATGATCCACTGAACAAGTAGAAGATAGGTTCTGGAGGAATGAAAAGAAAAGAGGTAAAGAGGTGTTAGTCACGGCTTCTAGGTTTCTTTTTTTTTTTTTTTTTTTTTGCTTCTAGGTTTCTAACATAAGCAGTTACACTGGTGGTGGAGCCGATTATGGATCTGGGAACAATGGAGAAAAAGCAGGCATGTAGAAAATTATTAATTCAACTTTGGACAATGTGATAGAGACTTCCCAAAGATAGCTACAGTATCTTCGGTCTCACTTTCTTTTTACAATGTCATTTCTGATAATCTCCCTCTAAGAAGGAGAATATGTTGCCTTTCTTGAATTTGAATGGGCTTATGATTATGGCAGAAGCGATACTGTAAATTCCAAGACTAGTTTGTCTAAAGCTACTGATTTGGAGCTGTGAGCCACCATGAACATCATCCACCTGCCCCAAGGCTTCCAAACAGAAGAAAACTGAACAATCAGATAATGGAGAGATCTACATGGAGAGGAACCAAGGCTTCCTACATCATAGCTCTGGTCAAGACCTTGGCCAAAATCCTGCACTCACTTAGTATCATGTGGAGTACACTACCTGGAAAGCAAATTGTCTTAATCCAGTTGATGCCATGTGAAGCACAGAAGTCATTCTTCCCAGCCTCTGCCCAAGTGCAGATGCATGAGCAAGATAAATGACTGCTGTTTAAGAAACTGTATTTTAGGGTGGTGTATTATACAACAAATGATAACTAGAACAGGAAAAATTGGGTTGAGGGCTTTTGATCTATCTAATAGGTCTAGGGTTCACAACTGTTCAGCTCTTCAATGGTTACTGACATCTTGGGAGTAGGTTGAACAACCCAGGAAGAAACAAAATGATCCCAGGATATAATCTAAATAAACCGTACATTCAGTGGTAAAAGGGAAGACAAGCTGAAAAGCCAGGTTACATGTACATCTGTGTAAAAGAAGGCACTTTATCTGTTTATACACTGCTATCTCCAGCACTTATAACAGTGCCAAAAGTGCCAGTAGTTCCCAATAGGAACTCAAATGAAACAGTTGCTGAGTGGATAAATGAAATATGTCAAATTTTACTGAGAGGCCAATAACAATACAGCTAACATTTTGCTGAGTACTTACTATATATCAGGCATTGTGCTCTTTCTAGAACTGTGGCTGTGAAGAAGAGAAACAGGGTAAAGTATTTATTTAATTTTTTTGTACTAGGGAATGGACCCAGGGGTGATTTACCACTGAGTTACATCCCCGGCTCTTTTTTTTATTTTGAGACAGGGTTTCACTAAATTGCTTAGGGCCTTGAACTTGCAATCCACCTGCCTCAGCCTCCCAAATTGCTGGGATTACAGGCATGTGCCACCATCCTGGGCTCAGGGTGAAGAATTCTTAACTCCTATTTTTTAAACTAATCTCATATGGCTCCTCTATCCCCCACCCACTGACAATATATTGTTGCTAAGATCACCAGTGACCTCACGCCAAATCCAGTGGAAAAATTTCAGTATGATTGGCAATCAGAGTTAAGAGTCAAATTCTGACTCTGTTATTTACAAGTTATGTGGCCTTGTGCAAGAATTTTTAAAAACTTAACTTAAAAACAACTATGTGGTTTGCTTCCTTAGGTTAATATTATATAATTTAAACAAAACAGAACAACCCTACAAAATTAAATAACTAATTATACTGAGTGTGAACACAGGGGCACTTTACAACTAATTTACACCCCCGCCCTTTTTATGTTTTATTTTGAGAAGGGTCTTGCTAAACTGCCAAATCTGGTCTCACACTTGCTAGAAGCTAGGATTACAAGTGTGTACCACCATACTCAGCCTCTACAAAATTAATTTTAAATGACTGAACATTGAGTCTTACCTTATGGGGAATGGACCGCCTTTGCAAGTACGACCTGAAGGCTGGGTTGGGGTAAAGGAAAGTATTTTTTGTTTGTTTAAAGTGGGAGACAAGTGAGCTGGTTTTAATGCTAATGAGAAGGAACCAGTTGAAAGTAAAAAGGGGCCAGAGATAGGGAATGGAATCTAGAAACTAGATTAGCTTTTGAAAAGTGCCACCTAACTCACTTGAAACTATTGTTCGAAGTATGATATGTCAAGAGCTTTGTAATGTTGTGAACAACCAATAAAAAAAAAAAAAAAAGAAAAGTGCCACCTTATCCATGATAGTAATGTGGAGGCAGACCAAATCTATGTAAGATACAAGAAATTTGGAGACAGGTGGCTGTAAGCTGAAACAGTTCCTTTTGCAAGGATTTTGTTTTCTCCAAGTGAGTGAGGTTATCTGCATAGAGTGAGGTGGGTGAAAGGGTGAGGGATCCAAGATGAGAAGAAAGCAGGGAAAGTGTGAGACCCACAGTGAAGAGCAGAAGAGCATGCCTACCTCAGAAACTCAGTGAGATTGTTAGTAATGTTTAGGGCCTAAAAAAACCCCACTAGATAAATATAAATATCCTCCTTAGATATGGTAACTACCTATGTAGGCAGTCCAGATCAGGCTCTCTGGAGGTGAGTCATAATATATATACTTGGAGATTTGGAGCTACTAATAATAAAAGACAAAGTTCTGCATTGAATTTCTTGGTTTCCCTCAGAGTGCAATCCAAAATGTTTTTACACTGGAGACCTCAAATTCCTGAGGATGATTATGACCTCTCTCATATCCCACTTAAGTAGTCACTATTTTCCAATGCACAAAATAGGACCTCCTCAAGTTTAGCAGTCATTAGAAAAACTTAAACTTAAACATCATAAAACATGTTTATCTGTCAGAAGCAGCTTTTCCAGTACTTATCACAAAGGATCATAGACAGACTTCAGGTCAATAGATTATGGCATTCAAGATGATCTTTCAGATTTTATGGAATTTTTCCATATGTGTGCAAGGGACGTATTTTCATTGGACTACTATAATGGTTTCTGAACTTGTCCTATGTTTGGCTATTTCCTATGTTGAGATAAATTCAGCATTTATCTCAACATAGGAAAATTACTATTTCAGAGTCCCCTTTATGTGAGGATAAAGGTAAATATAGTTGGCTCCAAACTAGTCTATTGCAAGCTAAGATGCTTTGTGGATATACCTAAAGAAATGTATGTTTAGAGGATGCATTTTCAGAAAAATATTTACTTTTTAAACCTATAGTTAAACTTTAAATTTTATGCCACATTTAGAGTACCCTGAAATTCAGGGGCAAATGTTGCCTTTCAGAAAACAAACCTAAAACTTAATCTTAATTTGGGGTTAAAACATGCTAATACAAAGAGAGCCGTGTCTAGGAGGAAAATCGCACACATTTATCAACTACCACATTCTTTTTCTCCCTCGAAAGCTTGAAAGCCATTCTAAAGAACAAAAACTAGAAGCAAATTCCAAAGAGAAGGAAGAATGAAAGAGAATAAACCTTCCCTTAAAACCCAGCTGCAAGGCTGAGAAGAATATTCTCGTGTTCGGCTTCAACGTAGCCTGCTCACGTGAATGCTCTCTGTTTTGTTAAAGGGTGATACAAAGCCATTGTCTGATCACAAAGCTTGTTGCTAACAAATGCAGTAGCAGCTTGTTGCTTAGACACTTCTGTTTATTTTTGCCTCAGAAAACTAATGCTACGATCAGAGCTAAAGTGACTAACATGGAGCTCATGCAGCCCATGCTTCTGGCGTGCAAAAATCCTTGTAAATCCAGCAACACGAATGAATACGCTCCTTTGTGGCCCTGAAACCATTCATCCAAGAAATATTCATGTCAAGAAAAGTATAGGCAAGCGGGTGTGCGACAACATGCTGTGACCCAGCTCAAGCCAGATTCATATGGCTGTTTCTGTGCAATCTAAAGTAGTAACGCTGTGCATTGTTAAAAGTGGGCTAATCAAACAACATTTAATCTAGCTTAGAAAAAGAAGGCAAAGATGACAAACAGTGGCCAGTGAAGTACCGGGTGGCAGCTCTTTAAATTGGTGCCAAGATGAAATCAAGTGATACAATATTCTAAAGCAATTAATTAAATAGTTTTACTTTTCCCCCTCCTAGATAGTCTAGATTCTATTGAGAACACAGCAAAAACAAATGGGTTAATGTGCTGAAAAAGACAATTATATTAGACATTAGGTGAACTGTTCTGGCCATGCCATTACATCAGACTTATGAACAACATCTTAGAAAAGCTTTTTGCTATAAATCTTCTGCCTATGAAGATTTATGGTTCTTTGTTAAGCAAGTAAAGTGCCTTGAATAAAATACCAAAGGACAACTGTTAGGTGCTATTTCTCATGAGGCAACAGAGAGTAAAGTAACTTACAGTACAAACTGATGACTCCAGAAACAACATGATTATAACTGGATGAAAGGGGCACCTCTACATTTTTCAGGTATAAAAAAGTCAAGAGAAAATTATTCTTCTGTCATAGTATTCCCAAACATATTAATAATAGCATTCTCAGCAGACTGAAGAGTTTAAAAGAGAACTCACGGCAGGGTTTCTCAATCTTGTGGGTATTTGAGCCCGGTAATTGTTGTAGAGGGCTGTACTGTATAATGAAGAATATTAAGGAGTATCCCTGGCCTCCACCACTAGATGCCAGTAGCATCCCTTCTCCAGAGATGACCACCAAAAATGACTCCAGACACTGTTAAATGGGAGCAAAAACTCGCCCCAACCCCTACCAGGTCCCAGCAAGAAATACTAATAGAGAGCACAACTTCTGTGACCACACAGAGGACAAGACTGCATACACCTCCCCTACCCCTGACTACTCAACACAGGTCCTCTTTCCTTCTCTGCAGAATCCACACATTTTCTCACAGTCCCCAGGCAATCAAGGAAAGGAACAGGGACTTCCTCAATAAGAAATGCTGGGCTACATTCCTTAACCCATATGCATTCTAACAGACCAAACAGCCTTTGAATCTTCTTGTACATTTAAATAGAAGTTTTACCAAATCCTCTTGATGGAGGATTTATTAGTCAGTTTTTTTTTTTTCACTATGACCAAAATAACCAACAAGAACAACTTAGAGAAGTTCATTTTGGGTTCACAGTTTCAGAGATTTAGTTCATGATGGGCTGACTCCATTGCTGTAGGGCCAAGGTGAGGCAAAAGAACATCATGGCGGAAGGGTGGGGTGAAGGAATGTAACTCCATTCATGGCAGTCAGGAAGCAGAGAGAGAAAGAAAAGGGAAGGGGCCACAGGGACTATGCACCCTTCTAGGGCATACCTCCAGTGACCCATCTCAAGCCATGCCCCAGCTGTCTATAGGTACCACCCAGTCAGTCTATTCAAACTAGGATGGATAAACTAATTTCATAATCTAATCATTTTATCTTTAATATAGGAGTTCTGGAGAGACACCCCATAACAGGTATGTGTTCTCAAAGGGATTAGTCAAGTTTCAAAATTAGTTAATGGTACTTGATTTCCTAACACGAAGCTGGAAACAATTCTCAATAGTTACTGTAACAAACTTCTTCAAAATTATCTGAAAATCATCTCAAAACTCCCCAGAAACTCAAAAAATATTTACCTTGCTTTTCAATTTGAGGCTAGTATGTGCTTTAAAAAAAGGTATGTGTGTGGGGAGTACCTTATTACATCAAACACCTGGAATTCCAGTCTAAAGTGTCACTCTACTCTATGGAGAGCATACTTGAGAAATAAGCAGAAATCATCAGGAGTTGATGGTGGAACCACTCACTTGTCAGGGGAAAAGACTACAGAGACCTCACAGACCTTGAGTGGCCTAGTCAGAGTACGCCTGCATCCTGCCTTCTACTTCCTTCCTCTGATGTCTCAAGTGCTGGGACTTCTCGAATTTCCTTTGGTTTAAGGCCCTGAAATACGTTTACATTTAACAGGTAATTATATCACATCGATTAAATTCACACATTACATTCAGAACCCCTTTTTCATATTAGTACTGTGAGGTTAATGGATTTGATAGACACCCTTGAAACATAGATCGGATCTATATCATTTTTAAGTGTTGGGCGTGACTCTCACAACATCTATCCATGGAAATGAGTAGTGCAGTGGAAAGAGTCCAGGACTTTAACTCAGGAGACCTGAGTTAAAGTTCTGAATCAGGTGTGTGACTAACTAGTACTATGTTCAAAGGAGGTAAATTGTTTAACATATCTGGACTTGATCTTTGT